GCATCCTCTTGACTTTTGGGGCGGTCCTGGGTCAGAAGGCTAGCCGAGCTCAGAACACTGAAATCGGTCTCCCCGAATCTCTTTTGGAACATTCTGGCGATCCGAGTACAGCAATTGGGGATTGCTTGCGTTGTCGGCTCTGGGATTTCAAGCCGTGAAGCAGTCATGAACTCACGTCGGGTAGTTTGACTGGAAGCATGAAGGAAAGCGGCTTGTGCAGGGATCTTGCCCATAGCGTTTCAAGCCGTCAAGCAAGCAAGAATTCAAGCTGAAGAGAGACGATGACGAAAAAAAGTAGACCTTGAATGCTATGTTGTTAAGAAGGCAGCTCAACATGTTTCACTGGGCTCCTTGAGTTGTCATGGCCGAGCCCGCGCCCGCCGAAGAGGATGCGCCCAAGCATCCGCGGAAGACGTACAAGCCACACGGAAACGACTTGCGGTTCCAGGTCGATGTGCCTCCGAAAAAGCAGGCCGGCTTGCAGGATGACATTCTGGATCAAGCTTTCAAGAAGTGCTGCAAGACTTGGATGCAGCGAGAGGACACGGAGGTGGGGCAGTTGGCCACTCCCTGGACTGTGCGTGGCAAGGATGGGAAGGAGTGGCGCTCGAGATGCATTTGCATCGAGCATGAGGAGTGCCGCCAGAGACGTGGGCGAGCCTTTCAGATTCATGGCCAGATGACCCGCAGCGCCGACGGTGCGTCTGTTGCTGTCAAGCTGACCATTTTGAGCTGCGGCGACTGTGGCACCACACCGAGGAAATTGCGGGCAGACTCCTGTGCCGAAGACCCGGCCACCTTCACTGGACGTAAACGCGTCCGAGAGGCTGTCCAGGCCCTCGCCGCAGACGACGAGACCGTGACTCCTGTGCGCGTGGCTCGAAAGATAGCGGGCCAGGAGCTGCCGAGCATGAACCCTGACTCGCTGCGGTACTACGCACGCAAGTTTCGCCCGCCACAGGAGCAGGCCAGGAAGGCGACAGATCGCAAGCAGCAACCTTGCATTGCCGAAGTGTCTCGTTCTGAATGGGAGGCGTTTGTGTCCCAGCATTCGGACGGCACAGGGCTCCTCCAGATTGTGCACACGTTGCCCTCCGGCAGCTTCGTTGGCTTTCTGCCTCCCATGCTGCAAGAGCTGAAGTCGCTGCATCTGCAGGGTCGTATGGCGGAAATTTACCTTGCAGCCGATGCCACCTTCGACGTCGAGGCCGATGGCTTCAAGTGTCTCGGTTTTGCAGTTCTGCCCAGTCGATTTCGTTGTTTACTCGAGATTTTTTGGATGGGAAGCGCAGCTCAGGTATCATGTCTTCACGGCAGCAGTCTACCGCTTACTGAGTGGAATCGTCGGGGGTGAGCAGCAGGATCGCTGGAGACGGAGTGCGCTGCCGCTGGCCATCGCCAGACATCCGACGGAGAGGCCTGAGGTCTATGGCCATGTATTTTCGGCTTTGCACACAGAGCTTCAGTGCTTGGGGCTGCCCGCAGCGCAGCAAGTGCACTCAGACTGGATGCCAGGAGCTTGCCAACAATTGTTGAGCCTTTAACTTTCTTAGAAGCTACTTACGAGGAACATCCAGACAGGATTCAGATTTCAGAATTCTATATACAGCCCGGTATACCTAGCCTTCAGCCTTGACATAGAATGGCCCTCATCTTGGCGTTTTCTGCAAAACTTTGAAGTCCTGCAGCTATCCGACAAAACATGCCTGGAGCCAGACATGTGCAAGACTTGGAGCACATGTTGAAAAACTTGGCTGGCCAAATCGAGCGTGAAGACCGTTACAGGCGAGGAAATCCGGGTCCCGCGTCTCTGCACGCGGCCTCTGTGCGTGGTTGCCAGCTACATTCACACAATCGCACTTCTGCCAAGTGTCAGCCTTTTCCTGGTTTGCTTGGGGACGCTGCTTGACCGGATCAAAACCGGCTGGGGGGAAGAGCCCTGCCACGACTTCTTTGTTCAACAGTATTTGTATAAGGCATCCATTCAAGAAGCCGTGTACGGGGTGTCCGAGGTGCTCACAGGGCGCTGGTGGTACGGCATGAGCAGCCATCTGGCGTGTGGACATGCGCCGAGCATGCAGACACCCGAGATGGCCCATCGACAAGTGAAGCGTGCGTTGACGGACGCGCCTGGTCGCTCGCTACTTACGGTCTTACAATCTCTGAAAGAAGCGGTCAGCTTGTGGACTTCGGACCGCAGCATGGAGCAAGATTCTTTCACGTTGCTGACACCTAACGGCCACACTTCTGTGCGGCCGTGTCGCCCGGATAGCTGGATGCTGGGCAACCGAAGACTTTGGAGGCACAGAGTGCCTGGCGCAGGAGTCAGACTGCTCCCCTCCATCCCGCGCCTTCTCCATGCGATGAGACAGGAGCCTGGGTGCATGGTGGAGAAACGCAGCGGGCCAAAACGCTTTTTCTTCATGCGGACGGGCCACCCCGTGCCCCTGCACTTGTGCGAGGTGGAGGTGCTCTGGCAGTCACTGCAAACAAAGCGCTTGGATGCGGTGCGTGATCTACTTGGTCGCAGCGGAGCCATCCTTGAAGTGGAAGGAGGGGGGGGGCAAGCTTTGCTTGAAGCGTCTTCGGGAGTTATGGATGGATCACTGCGTTGTCAGCCACAAGGAAAATGCCGCAGGAAACCGCACCAGCTGCAGCTGCTGCAGCTGTTGGCATTATAGAAGGAGAGGACACTGTCCGCATTGGTATGGTGTCCGCCAACATGTCGGAGTAGGGACCTGGGTGCCTGAGACGTTGCCACGCGCGGCAGAAGCTCCGAGGGACTTTAGGGCAGAAGGCGAACTGTCGGATGGGTCATCGCTTGCAATTCGCCGCAGACCGGCTGTCAGGCGGAAGAAACGCAGACCTGAGTATCGACCGCTGCCTGTCCCTGAGGATGAGCCCTCTGAGCCTTTGCCTGCCGCGCCAGCTGCTCATAAGTCTCGAGTTCTGCCGCCGCAGCGAGCGAGCAAATCCCCGTTCAATCGTTGATGCCTGAGGTTGCCGCAACCTCTTTCCAAAGTCCTGGATGCTGCTGCCGGGGTCAAAAGCTAGTTTCTGCCGGCGAAAGTGTCGTTTCACGCCAGCTCTCTGGGGGCATGCGCATGAAGTTGACGTCATTGCACCGCCCTTGTCTGGACAGGATGATGAGAAGTTGCTGCCACCGCCGACAGCAGCACCGGTGCGAGAGGCGGGACGAAAGGTTGCTTGAACTTTCACGGGTGCGGCAATCCCACTCGCATGCGGTGTCTAGCAGAAGGGGCGGGAAAGGTACTTTGAGGGTCTAGAATCTAGAGTGACATACATCAGCTTCTTGAAGGCCTCCTGCAGAAGTGGTTCGCCTACCAGCGTCGCACCACCGTCGTCGTGTGGCGCCGACAACTCAGACCCGACTGAGGTTCAGTGCGGAGGCATTTTAGCAGCGAAATCCTCGCACAGCTCTAGTTGCCAGGAGCATATGCAAGATGGCGAGAACGACAATCACTTCGCTCGCGAGGAACGCCTGTTGCGTCTTAATGAAGCTTTCGAGGTTTCCAGCCCCAGCCCCTCACTTGTGCAGCCCAAAATCGGTACCCTTTTTCGTGCCCTCTTCCCCCAAACAGCCGAAAACGGGTACCGTTTCGGTGCCTCTCTTTCTTGTTCCCCAGCAACCAGAAATCGGTAGCCTTTTTCATGGTTTTTTTTCTTCAAGCAGCCGAAAATGGGTACCATGTCGGTGCCTTTAAATGAGTACTGCTTCGGTGCCCTTCTCTCCCGGTCTCCCACCCTCCAGCAATAACCAGAAATCGGTACCCTTTTTCGTGCCCTCTCCTTTCAAGCAGCCGAAAATGGGTACCGTTTCGGTGCCCCTCTCTCCCGGTCTCCCCCCGCACCCAGCAACCAGAAATCGGTACCCTTTTTTTCGTGCCCTCTCCTTTCAAGCACCCGAAAATGGGTACCGTTTCGGTGCCCGTGTCTCCCAGTCTCCCACACCCCAGCAACCAGAAATCGGTACCCTTTTTCGTGCCGACTTCCTTGAAGCAGCCGAAAATGGGTACCGTTTCGGTGCCTTTCTGTCCCGGTCTCCCCCCGCACCCAGCAACCAGAAATCGGAACCCTTTTTCGTGGGTCTCCCACCACCCAGCAACCAGAAATCGGTACCCTTTTGCGTGCCCTCTCCCCCCAAGCAGCCGAAAATGGGTACCGTTTCGGTGCCTCTCGCTCCCGGCCTCCTCCCTCCGTTCAAGCAAACAAAAATGCGTGTTTCGGTGCCATTCTCTGCCGGTGCGGACAGACTTCGCTGCCTCGTGCAATTCCTGGTGTCACGACAAGAGCATGCTTGTGTGAGCTATGCGAATAAGGTTGCACAGGTCTGTAGAGCAGTCTGTGCCAACCGTAACAGTCTGTGGAGCAGTCCGTGTCAATCACAATTCCACATCTGCTTCGGCTTCGCAGAGTGCTATATACCTCTTTTGAGTGCTCCACTTTTTCGTGCCGTCTCCACCGAAGCAGCCGAGCAGCTCTCTCCAGCCCACCAAGCGGGTACCGATTTTGGGCTGTTCTTCTTTTGGGTTGTCTCGGGGGGAGCAAGCCGTCGAAGAGATAACCGATTCTTGGCTGTGCTGTTTCCGATTAGCGAGGCCTTCTATCATCTGCCATCGGTGGCTACGTGGCTGATTTCCAGAATCACACAGGCCTCTGTCTGTCTGTCTGTCTGTCTGTCTGTCTGTCTGTCTGTCTGTCTGTCTGTGTGTGTGTGTGCAGCAGCACGGAAACGCCGCAACAGAATTGTAACTCTTACCGTACCCAGAGGACGACTCAGATGATGATCAGCCGCTCTCGTGGTCCATGCGTCACATCCTGCAGCCGCCGGAGATTAAGCAGGACTCGTTTTTCAGCAGCAGGGTTGGAAAGGGTTGGGGTACGGACCCATGTTTAGGGGCGAAGAAGCTGTCGGTGGCTCGGTCCGGGTTTAGGTCCAAAGTTGATAACTGTTCATGTGCTTTCCACAGGAGGATTCAACTGAAGATGGTCCACGCAAGCGGATGTTGGAGAGTCAGGACTTGTCCTGCCAACTTTCGGTTCTTTCACCAGTCAGAGAAGCTTGCAAATGCATTTGCTTAGTGTCCTTTCGTCATCTGCAGGACGTCGTTCACGTGACGGTGTTTGCTGAGGGCACCGACGGCTTGAATGAGTTGTCCTTCACTGTGCATGCCCGCCATGTCCGTTGTGGTTAGCGTTGTTTCATGCAAGCGCGGGCCAGGGTCGCGAGGACAGCACTGGGTAAGATGATGAAGGCACATGCAGCAGCCCCTGTCCCTCGTTTGCATGCATCACATCTTCTTCTTCTTCTTCTCGAGGCCTGGTGTGACCACCGCCAGTTCCCGGCAGAGAAGGTTGCGTTCTTGCTGGGGGAGAGACTGCTCAAACCCGAGGACAGACCGGGCTTGGCTATTTCGCAAGTGCGCAGACGGCTCCTGAAAGGACACGCTGCTGACGCTGGGTTGTGCAGACACTGCGGTGGTCTGCCATGCCGTCACCAACCCAGCTTCAAGGGCCGTCTGTTGTTGCACGAGTCACGGCCGTCTGAGTACTCGTTCATCGTGCGCAGGTACCCCACGACCAAGTGGAAGGTGCGAGGAAGGCCACGCCCAAGATACAAGGCCTGATCGCGAAACTCTGAACGGACTCACCTTACCCTAGCCTGACTGGGGCCTCGTGCAAGGACGCCAAAAGGCAGCGAAGTCGAAGCCGAAGACTCCGAAGCCGAAGGCCCGTGTTTTGTACGACTGTTGCTGCTGCGCACACAATTCAACATCCCAACTCTAGCTGCTGCCACGTGTGGACTGGAGATCCAAACTCTGTACGCATCTTTTTCGCTGTGCGTTGGTAAGCGTTTTTGCGTGATGTTTTCTGGGCTAGGCAGAAGGATCCGACAGTGAAACAGACGATCCTGATGCAAGTTGTCTTCCACAAGCAGAAGAAGCTCCTGAGGAGCCATTTCGACCAAGTTGGCCTGCATTGAAACGTAAACTTTTCCTTGAAGGAGAAACCCGGTGAGGTCTTGCAGTTCGGGGAAGCCAGCGTGGCTTTGCAGCAGCGCCAAGGGCTGCGACCGCTTGCTTTCGATGCATTGCAGGCCTCTGGTGCTGTGTTCCCGGGTTTCGCCAGTCGTGTCCGGGACACTCCAGTGCCGGATGGCGGCAAAAAACGCAGAAATGTTGCCGCTGCGATTCTCAGGCAGCAAGCAGCAAGTGAGCAAAAGCCTCTGACATCTTTCGGAAATCTTTGCAGAGATGTCGCGAAAGACGTCCAGAAACAAAACAGAAAGTCCCGAAAGTGGCTGAAGAGAGAAGCCAATATCGAGGAGAATGAGCACTATTGCAAGCTCTGCACCGGAGCTTTGGCAGTCCTTCAGTTGTCGAGCGAAGAAATGCTGGCATCCGTCATGTCCGATAGCGCCCGCCTTTGTGAGCATGCTAAGAGGCAGACAGTCGACCAGCGGGACTTGTCCTTAGCAGTTTCCCTGTGGCGCGAATGGGGAGATCAACTCTTGCGGAAGCGAAGCAGAAGCCCAAGCGTGAGCTCTGCAGAGTCTTTCGAGGACTCTGCGGAGATGAAGGACAGCTGGGTTTAGGGCAGGGCTCCGCCACCTCATCTAATCCACTGCCCTCAGTGTTCGTACGTTTTCCCTAAACCCGAATACTTCATTAAACCCGAAGCCTTAAGCCCAACGTTTTGAAGCCTCATTCTTTCGCAGTCGGTGCAGGATATTCTCAAAAAGTTTTCCCAGATCAGCGCGAGAACTTCGCGGAGGAGGGCTCAGAGCAAAGCAAAGGCGAAGTCGACAGTCAAGGCTGCGAGAGAGAGCAATGTCAAGCTTGTCTGCAGTTGGGGAATGTGGTTCCCAATCGAACGAGCGCCTGACTTGTTCAAATTTTCGTTTCGTGTTTCTCACTGTCGATCATCACTCCCGCATGTGTAGTCTCACGCTTTTTACTGCCCTTTTATACCCTCTAGTGCCTTCTACTCCTCTTCACCGCCTTTCACTGCACTTTACTGCCCTTTACGGCCCTCTACTGCCCTTTACTGCTCCTTGCTGCCCTTCTACTGCCCTTTACTGCCGTGCAGGAGGAGGTGGCCCCCGCGACCGCGAAGACGAGAAAGCCCAAGGAGAGCAGAGAGAAGCCCAAGGCTTCCTTGCAGTTGCTGATTAGCCGGTAACTTAGCAGGGCTTGCTGTTTCGCCGAGGCAGCGTCGAAGAAAGGAAAACCCATGGAGAGCAAAGACAAGCCCAAGGCTTCCTTGCGGGTTGCTAGAAGTCCACCCGATGCTGTGAGGTTGGCAACTCCTGCTGGCACACCGTCAAGGGTTCCGACTCTGCCACAATTTAAGCAGTTTCAGTAATTCCAGTTCATGGTTCATGATACAGGATGTAAGTTTTCGGCTGGTGACTGGCGGTGACGGTTTTTAAATATGTGGGGGCCGGGCCACCCGGCAGCCGCTGAGATCTAGTATGGCGTATCTGCTTTATCCTGTCCGCATACTTAATCCATAATATACACAATCATCCACAAGCCCAGTTGCAGGAAGGTTGTTAACACCACTTTGGGGGTCAACGCCATGGTGGGGACAGCGCCACTGTGGAGGACAGCACCACTTTTCGGGACAACACCACTTTGGGGAACAACATCACAACACCTTTTTAGCCAAATGACAAGGAGAGTTTGAGCCCATGGACTTCGGCCTACCTAAAGCAGTCTCCAACCTATCCCAATTCGCTAGCCGGTTACTGAACCGATTTTCCCGCCCTTCCCAATTCTTCGCTAGCCGTGCCATGAGCCCTCCACCGCGTGTTTGAAAATTAGCCGTGCTACATAGCTGTTTAATGTCCGCATATTTAAAAAGCGTCGCCGCAGCTGGGCTTGCTGTTTCGTCGAGGCAGCCGCGAAGAAAGGAAAACCGACGGAGAGCAGAGAGAAGCCCAAGGCTTCCTTGCAGTTACTGGTTGGTAACTTAGCTGGGCTTGCTGTTTCGCCGAGGCAGCCGCGAAGAGAGGAAAGCCGACGGAGAGCAGGGAGAAGCCCAAGGCTTCCTTGCAGTTTTCGGCAGGTAACTTAGGTGGGCTCGCTGGTCAGGACAGAATTTGCTGGGCCCTAGCGCTAACACTGTCTGGCAGGACATGGAAAAGACAAGGAAGCAGCCCGAGGCTGGTTCCAGAGGCGTGTTGTTCAGACTTTCCTCTCCAAGCGAACATCCGGCACCAGGCAAGTGCTGTGGTCAAGAAGAAGCAGCCGAAGGCGGCTTCTAAGCCCCAAAGGGACCTGTTCACTATTTCCCTTCGAAACAAAAGCCCGGCAGGATGCGCCTGCGTTGGTCCGAAGGAAGAAGCAGCCCAAGGCGGCCCTGTTCCCTGAACCCTAACCCCTGAATCCTAAAACCATGCGGATCTCATCCCGCATGGTTTTTCGTTTGCCGTCCAGGACTGACAAGTCTCCAAAAGTGAAAGTTTTGAGCAGCAAGGACGTTGTGGCGTGAAGCAGCGTGGAAGGTTTGGAAGGAAGATAGGGCCCATGCTACGCACTGAACCTGATGTTAGGCTTAGTCAACCTTCCCCGCGGGCTTCCTGCGACAATCCTTCTGGACCTGACAGGGACAGGCCAACCCGAGGAGAAAAAGCCTGGCCAATTCGAATTGCCACTTTTCCACCTTCTTGCTTTGCGGTTTTGGTTGCTCGGGTTCTTCGGGTCTTTGGGTTCGCAGGTTGGTTGCTTCCTCAGGTTCCCTTGGTCGGGTTCCTTGGGTTTCCTTTGCGTAGTGGTTTCTCCGGCCGTACTGATGGCCTTGGCCGTTCTGTACAACAGACGCAGCATGGCATTCTTGATGTCATATTCTCTACTAGGTCTGGCTTATATCGAGCCAATATCTTAATCTTGTCATGCGCCCTATGGGGCAGAGCCGTCTGTGGAGGCGCACCTGGCGGATGCCAATCGTTGCAAACTTGTTTTTATATACATTCTCCGGCTTATACTCCAGCCAATAATTTGTTTCCATATTCTGCTCCGGCTCATATTCAGCCAATAACTTGTTTCCTTTCGTCGCTCCCTCTCTTCTCGCGCATCTGCGTGATGCCAGTTGAACTATGTTTTATAGACATGCTCCGGCTTATACTCCAGCCAATAACTTGTTTCCATATTCTGCTCCGGCTCATATTCAGCCAATAACTTGTTTCCAGTACACAAGTTCGGGTCTCGTGTTGCGTACTAATGCCCCACCCATTGCGCTGTTACTGCTCCTGCCTTCTGCGTCGTTATTGCCCCCTGCTTCTCACGCAGTTATTGCGCGCTCTCCCAAAACCCTAAACCTAAACCCTAAACCTCCCAGAACCCTAAACCCTAAACCTCCCCAAACCCTAAACCCTAAACCCTCAAATTCAAACCAAGGGGGTCCCAAACTAATCACTCTGCGTCTCAGGCAAACGCCCGTGCAGCTGTGGGCCCGCGGTGTTCTCGTAACATGCTGGCAGTTGCGACGTTGAAGACTAGTGGTGCTTATGATGAGGGACGGCGATGAAAATATTGGCGGTGGTTGTGGTGGTTTCGATGATTTTTGCTGGCAATGGCGATGGTGATAGTGATGTTGATGCTGATGACAGTGATGACGATGACGGTGATGATGAGGAGCTGCTTACGACGACCATGACGATGCTGATGGCTCTAAGTAGAAGAAGAAGGAGCTGGTGTATTGTTGCTATTGTTGCTATTGCTGTGGTTGTGGTTCTGCTTCTGCTTGCTCGTGTGGCGCTGGTGGTGCTGCTGGTGGTGGTGGTTGTTGCTGTTGTGTTGGACACCTCCTCCTCCTACTGCTACTACCAACACTACTACTATTATTATTATTAGTAGTAGTAGTGGTAGTAGTAGTAGTAGCAGTAGTAGTAGTAGTAGTAGTAGTAGGAGGAGGAGGAGGAGGAGTAGCAGCAGCAGCAGCAGCAGCAGCAGCAGTAGAACTCTTATAGAACATGGTCCTCCAAACAAGGACTGGATCCATGGTTTCGCCTTCCACCTGGGCCTCTTCTGCCTGCTGGAGGAGTATGCCCCTTTCGCGGCAAACGTTATATGAGGCCTTAGTGGTTACCTAAACCCTAAACCCTAAACGAATAGGGTTTAGGGTTTAAGCAACGGGTTTTGGTATTCGCAATTAGACCAAAAATTGTAGGGAAAATACGGCAAAAAAGGTCGCCGAAACCCTGATCCCTGAGCCTCACAAGCGCTGCAGCGGGGTGGAGTCCTCGACGCTTTGAGTCCTGAGAGCTTCAGCCGGTGTCCTGAACTAAACCCTCCACCCTCAAAACCTCCTAAGCCCTAAGCCCCTAGACGCTAAACCTTAAACCCTAAACCCCAAACCCTAAACCCTAAACCCCAAGCCCTAAACCCTAAGCCCCTAAACCCTAAGCCCCTAAACCCTAAACCCTAAGCCCCTGAACCCAAACTGTTGTCAAGCGGCGTGGAAACTCCGGGGCCCGATCCTGGAGTTGCAGTGCCAGTTTCTTTTCTGAAGGAAGAGGGGTAGTACCCGTACAGCAGGATTGCAGTAGTAGTAGTAGTAGTAGTAGTAGTAGTAGGAGGGTGGGGTGGGTTTGGGGTTCCTTCAAGGGCTCCTTTAAGGGTTCTGCAAGGGTACCACAGGGGTGAGAGTTTAGGGTTTAGGGCTTCTCATTTTGGTTTTAGGGTTCAGGGTTCGGGCGGAGGTGAGGGTTTGGTGTTGCGGGTTGAGGGCCTTTGGTTTGGGGCGTTTCGCTCTTCCCCTCAAGCGGTCGCAGGCCCTCGATCAGCGAATACTTGCTATCCCCGGCAATATTTGTTATCCCTAAGGGTCCATATGCCCAAACAGTATATACCTTGGCCTTAAAGCAGTCCTTATATAGGTACTCTAGGGCCCATGTATATACTATTTGGCGGGCACATGGACCCTTAGAGTATGGTAACTTGTGACTGCAAGGGGGCTTGCCGGCTATACTAGAGTTAACCCTGAACCTTATAGACTATAGACCCTAAAGATGGCTGCAGAGGTGTGTCGCCGAGAAGGTTCAGGGTTGTAGGACTCCAGTTTAGGAGCAACCCTAAACCCCTAAACCCGAAACCTTAAACCGAAGATTGGGCATAAGCCTCTAGAGAGCTTAGGATTAGGACGTTTAAGATGTGGAGGCTTGCTTCTACAGGAGTAAAAATCATGAACCCCAACAAAGGTCACTATGGCTTTAGGATAAAAGGGCTCAGACGTCAGAGTTAACCCTAAACCCTAAACCCTAATCCCTAATCCCTAATCCTTAAACCCTAAACCCTAAACCCGAAACCAGGTCCGGCTGGGCTTCCTGGGCGGCATGCCGGCTGTGCCAGGGCAGCCGGTGAACTTCGGGTGCGGCCACAGAGAGCTTCCGGGTTTGTCTCCATATACAGAATAATAATGATAAATAATAAATAAGATATAGATACAAATATAAATACTAAAGAATTATTGAAAAAGAATATGAATATATATATATATGTATAATACATACAT